GCGGGGAGTCTGCTTCTCCCTCTGACCCTCCCCCCTCTCATGTGCTTTCTCTCTCTCAAATAAATAAATAAAATCTTTAAAAAAAAAAAACAAACTTAATGGTAATCATAATTGCTATCACTCAGCTGTACTTCCTGTGTGGCAGCATTGAGCTAACTCAGCAATTTACCTGCATCATCTTACTCTGCATAACCATTTTATTATTTATTTATTTAAAGATTTTATTTATTTATTTGAGAGAGAGCATAGGCAAGGGGAGAGGCAGAGGGAGAGGAAGAAGCAGACTTCTGCTGAGCAGGGAACCCGATGAAGAGTTTGATCCCAGGACCGCAAGATCATGACCTGAGCCAAAGGCAGATGCTTAACTGACTAAGCCATCCAGGCGCCCCATATTTATTTATTTTCAAGGATTCATTTATTTATTAGCGCACAAGAGCTAGGAGGAGGGGCACAGGGAGAGGGAAAGAGAATCTTAAGCAGACTCCCCTCCAAGTGTGGAGCCCCACATGGGGCTCGATCCCACAAACCCAAGGTCACGACTTGAGCTGAAATCAAGAGTCAGACGCTCAACTGACTGAGCCACCCAGGTGTCCCTCTGCATAACCATTTTAGATGGCTGTTTATTATTATTCTTCATTTTGTATGTGAGTGAAGTGAGGTAGAGGGATTCAGTTAATTGCTCAAGACCATATAGTTTCTTAGTGGCAGAACTGTACTTTGAGCAAACCCAGGAAAGCATGCATCAGAGCCCACAGTGGTACTGCCTTACAGAAGAAAGATGTTTTGATGAGAACTATGAAATCAAATCATAAGGGATTTATAGTTGGCCATAAACTTAAATATTTATATAACATTTTAAATGTTTTATTTTCTTGTGATTCTGTGGTAGAATGGGATATTTGCTGAAATTTTAATACCAACCCTCTTAACTTTTATCAGAATAGATTTACAGTTTTTAGTGAAATAGGATTTAGTATTGTATAAGCTCATATTTGTACCTTTTCTACAGCATTCTTAATTTAAAAGAGTGACTAACATGTATATTTCATCTGGAACTAATATAATTTCCTTATAGAAAATTTGGAAAAAAAACCTGCCATAATTTCCTTTTGCCAGTAAAACCACTATTGACATTTAGGTGTTTTCCTCTTAAAAGGGATTTCTCTTTGTATTTTTTTTTTACACTTAATGCATACAGCTCCATTTCTTGCCTTTTTCAGTAATGTTGCATAGTTCCATTTTGCTGTAGTCTTTGTAATTTCATAAAGTGATATGACATTTGTAACTCAGAATTTTATGAATGTGCTGACCTTACGTATTTTTAAAAATTATAAAAATAACTCACACTATTTAAAAAAAATAACCACTGTAGAAGTGTACTAAGCACAAAGTCACTGCTGCCCTACTCCCAACAGTTCATTTGTCTGATTTTTATTAACATACATCTTTTTTCTTATAGAAAGCATAGATAAGGGGCACCTGGGTGGCGCAGTCAGTTAAATGTCCGACTCTTCATTTTGGCTCAGGTCATGATCTCATGGTTGTGAGACTGAGCCCCACATTAGGCTCTGCACTGAGCACAGAGTCTGCTTGAGATTCTCTTTCCCTCTCCCTTTGTCCCTCCTGCTTATGCTCTTTTTCTCTCTCTTTCTAAAATAAAGAAATAAGTCTTTAAAAAAAAAAAGGGAAAAACAAGCATAGATAAATATTGGTTCAATTGTAGGAAAAGGCTAATAGGAATTAAAGGCAAATTATATTTGATGTAGAGAGATAGTTAACTGTATTTTTTATTTTTCCATTAATGCTGTATTTGTAATTGTTGTCTTTCTTTGTAGACTATGATCTCCTTGAGAGTTAAGGACCAAGTTGTATTCATTTAGTCTTCCCTTTTATAGTACTTTGCATATAATAGACACTGACATGTTATTTGAAGTGAGTACACAGTGAAAAGTGCCGTGACTTGGCATTTATAGCTCTGGTTTCTTGTTCAGCTTTGTTGTATTTTAACTGAGGGACTTCGGGTGAGCTGCTTTATCTTGCTGTGCCTCAGTGCAGATAATTGATCTGTAAAATTAGACTGGTACATAGTCCCTTAAGGCTCCTTCCAGCTTTAAATTTTTGTAGTGTTCAGTATGTTTATATATAGGTTAAAAATGATTTCTTTGACTGTTCCTATGTTTCATGTTTATATAATGCTTACAATGTTAAAAATACATATACACATATATAATAACATAAATAATTTGGCTTTATAGCTCAGAATTCAGTGTTTATTCATTCAACAATAATTTTCAGTACCTACTGTGTATCAGTACACTGCCACATAATACTGAAACTGGAATAATTTGTGAATATTACTATTTAACAGGACCCCAGAATTATGGTTTTCAAATTGTGTTTCATAGAATCCTAAGGTTTTAGGCACACCTGAAATCCCTTTGCTACAAATTCAATCCACTGTTTTGATTTTAATTGTTTTGTTAGAATGAACACAGTAGCTTTTTTTTTTTTTTTAAAGATTTTGTTTATTTATTTGACAGAGAGA